TGATAGGATAATATCCAGATGCCTACAAGGAAAACCACTTAATACCACTATTATTCAAATATACATACTAACCATGAAAGCCAGTAATGATGAAACTGAAGAATTCTACCAACTTTTTCCTGGTATGTGTGGCACTGCTGTCCACAAAGTCAGCGGTTCAAATCCACCAGCTGCTCTTTGGAAACCCTGTACAGGGTTACTATAAGTTGAAACTGAATCAAAGGCACTTAACAACAACCACCAAATTCTTCAGTCTGAAATTGATCAAACAGCAACCAAGAATCCCGGATGACTGCTTTGTAAAAGTTGGAAACTATGTATGGCCTTAGTGATAAAATAATGCTGGAAAGTACACGATAGAATTTTTCAAGTCTTCTTCATTGCAAATACCTTTTTTTTCAACAATATAAATGACTACTATACAAGTGGATGGAGTTTGGTGTGGGGCTGTAGACTAATGTGCTAAACTGTAAAGTAGGTTTGAACTGCAAGGTCAGTGGTTCAAGCTCACCAACCACTCCTAGGAAACCCTATACAGTGTTGTTATGTGTTGAAACCGACTCGATGACACTTAACAACAACAACAATAATATAAGTGTACCTCACCAGATGGAATACACAGAAAACCAACTGACTATATCTGTGGGAAGAGACGATGGAGAAGTTCAATATCATCAGCCAAAACGAGACCAGGATCAGACTGTATTAACAGACCATCAAGTGCTCTTATAAAAGTTAAGGCTGAAGATGAATAAAATTCAAACAAGTCAAAAGCCAAAATACTGCCTTGAGTATATCACACCTGAGTTTTGAGACCATCTCAAGAACAGATTTGATGCATTAGACACTAATGACCAAAGACCAGAGGAACTGTGGGATGACCTCAAGAACATTATACATGGAGAAAGCAAAACCTCATTAAAAAGACAGTAAAGAAAGAAAAGACCAAAATTAATGTCAGAAGGGATTCTGAAATTTGCTTTTGAACACAGAAGACCTAAAGCAACTAGAAAATGATGCAGTAAAAGAGCTTAACTAAACATTTCAAATGGCAGCTCAAGAAGAAAAAGCCAATTATAATAATGAAATGTGAAAAGACCGGGAGATGGAAAACCAAAAGGGAAGAACACTCAGCATTTCTCCACCTGGGAGAACAGAAGTAAAAATTCAACCTTTGGGTAGCAACATGGAAGGAGACCTGGTGTAGTGTTGTAGGATAAGCACTGGACTGGTAATCACAAGGTCAACAGTTCAAACACACCAGTCGCTTTTGAAAGCCCTATACAGAGTCACTATGAGTTAGAACCTACTCGATGGCAAACAACAACAACATAGGTAAAATACTGAATGACACATGAAATATCAAAATTAGATGGAAGTCACTATACCAAAATGAACTGGTCAATGATCAGTCCTTTTAACAGGTTCCATATGATCAAGAATCAATGGTATTGAAGGGAAAAGTCACTGAAAAGCCACACTGAAGGCACTGGTGAAAAACAAGGCTCCAGGAATTGTTGGAATATCAATGAAAACATTTCAAAAGATGGATGCAGTGCTATGAGTGATTGGAAAAGATCAACACTGGTGCCACTTCCAAAGAAAGGTGACCCAATGGAATGTTGAAATCATTTAACAATATCATTGATATCACATGCAAGTAAAATTTTGCTGAAGATAATTAAAAAATGGTTGCAGCAGTACATGGATAGGTAACTGCCAGAAATTCAAGTTAAAATTTGAAAAGGATGTCGATATAAGGATATCACTGCTAACATCAGATGGATTTTGGCTAAAAGCAAAAAATACAAGGAAGATGTTTACTTGTGCTTTGTTTACTATACAAAGTCCAAACTATGGATAACATTTTGAAGAATGGGTATTCCAGAATACTTAACTGTGCTCATGTGGAAACTGCACACAGACCAAGATACAGTTGTTAGAACAGAACAAGAAGATAGTGAATGGTTTAAAATCAGGAAAGATGTACACCAGAGTAATATCCTTTCACCATACTTGTTATGTCTGTTTGCTAAACAAATATTCTGAGAAGCTGGATTACAAGAAGAATCTGTCACCGGGATTGGAGGAAGACTCATTAACAACTTGAGTTGTTATGCTGATGACATAATCTTGCTTATGGTAAGTGAAGAGGACTTGAAATAGTTACTGATGAAGGTCAAAGACACACCTCAATGTACAGAAATAAAAATCCTCACAACGGGACCAGTAAATGTTGTTGTTGTTGTTAAGTGCCATCGAGTTGGTTCCCACTGATAGCGATCTTATATACAGAAGAATGAAACACTGCCCGATCCAGGGCTAACCTCTCTTCCATTGCTATGCTTGAGTCTATTGTTGCTGCCACTTGCCAATCCAATTCGCTGGGGGTTTTCCTCTTTTTCTCTGACCCTCCACATTATCAAACACGATATTCTTCTCCAGTGACTGGTCCCTCCTGACAATATGTCCTAAGTATGAGAGACAAAGTTGGCCATCTTG